CCATTTTTGTCTGTTTAATTTCTCAGAAAATTTGGTCCCAAGATGTTGGGATCTGGCCATAGGCAAAGTGGCAATTTTGGGGTATCAGGAAGCCTGAAGGCACCATCAGGCTGCTAATATATTTGCCCCGCAGGTATAGGTTGACCTGCTGGCGGCACCATACACCTTATGATTCTGTTTCATGCCTGGCTTAACTTACACTAATTCACACATAGTCTTAAAAATCAAAATAGCAGCTGCCCACGAACTGCTCCACCATTCCTGAATGGCCATGATCCCAGAGGCACACAAACCAATCTCAGAACCCAGCGGCTTCTGGCAGAAATGCTTCTGGACTGTGAATTAAGCTACAACACCGTGCCACCCTGACTGGGGGGGAGGGAGAAGGGCATCGTTTCTTCTGCCTTTTCCCCTCAGCAGCATGGTGACCACCATCTTTCAAAGCCTATTGAATAGAGAGGTACGAGCCTGCGGTGACAAGACACACAGGGTGTCACGGGATGGGGGCATGGAACCGGCCCTTTTCCCCACCCTGATGATATTCCGAGTTGCTGCCCACAAACACCTCCTTTGGCTTCTGAACAGCCTGATCCCAGAGGCACACAAACTAATCTTGGAACCCAGCGGCTTTTGACAGAAACCTCTCCGGACTTAAAATTACTAAATATCAGAAATTCAAAATCACGTGGCTGCTGTTGCAGCCGCGTAACATCATATGCTCTTCATAATCAGCAATAGAAAAAAAATTATCTAATGATGCCTTTTAGGCAGGTCTGATGGTTGGGGGAAAATTCCAAATAATAATGGTGGGTCTTCTGTCAAAAAATTGAATGTAATCAAAGGAGAGAGAGAGAGAGAGAGAGAGAGAGAGAGAGAGAGAGAGAGAGAGAGAGAGAGAAGTGGAAATCATCTGCTGCACAGGCAGGGGGAGGGATGGTAGGGGAGGCATAGTCGGGTTCTTGGTGGTGGAAAATGTGCACTGGTGAAAGGGTGGGTATTTGATCATTGTATGACCGAGACTTAAACCTGAAAGCTTTGTAACTGTTCTCACCGTGATTAAAAAAAAGTTAAAAAAATCAAAATAGCATGACAGGGCTTCTCTTCAATTATATCTATCCATCTATCTATATATGTCTGTGTTCTATCAACATGAGAACGTTACTAAGACATTGCAAAGTTAAGCTTAAAACAAAACACAACAAAAAGACAAGCAGATAGGGAAGATATCATTATAAGAACCATGAACGAATAAGTATACTCTGAACGCTAAGAGTCACACAGAACAGTAGTGCAAAAGTTGAGCTACTTTTAAAAAATATTTTAAAAAAATCTTAAGGTACTACGAAGCTGTTTATAATTATTTGAAATGTCATGACTTTATTAGTCATTTAGAAGTTTGATGCCAATTTAGTTTTCTGGGTTATATTTCTTCAATATATTAAAATATCCAATGGGGTAGTGAGTTTTACCTTATTTTTAAATAGTGGAAGGGTAGGGGGCTCTTTCTAAGAAGAATAGAAATGAAAAAGCATTTTTTAAACTTTTCAGACTGAGCAAAAATCTTAGCATAACAGATTCAATAGAAGCAGCAGGTGGTGATATCTGCCAACTCTGTATAGCCCATTTCCTGGCCCCTCCCAAGCATTCCAGACTAAAATAAGAGACTAGTTAATGTCTCTATTCATTTTATTTTGTGCTATTGATTGCATGTCTCTGTTAGAATAGATAAACAATAGTCCCACACTTTAGATTTGTCTAAGAAATCATATAAGTATTTGGACCTGTTAGAAGTGGCCAGATTTCAACTAATACTTCTATTTCAGAGACACACAATTAAGCAAAATGACCCTGATTCTACAGCTCTTCAGCGCTGAAGGGTTATTCCATCAGAACAGTCCTTCAATTTTCGAGTGTTGGATGCCACACAGACACCTTTGTGGGGTTCTTTTCTCCCCCCTAAGCAGTGGTGTGAAACTCTCTCTCTCTCTAAATTCTTGTCATTTGTTTATTAGTCATCAGAAGAGGAAACAAGAGGAAACACTGGAATTTCACTGATAGCAGAAAGGAGTATTGAACATCCGAACAACTCCACAACTGAACTTAGCTCGGTGGCAGTATTCGGCCATAAATGTAGGGAAATCTGGGTTTGATGCCCCATACTACACAAACGAACAAAAAAAAAAAAAAACAAGAAAACTAAACACCAGAGGAGAGAGTCAGAAAAATATTGTGAAGAGTTGGAATGTAGACTAAGTGATATTTTGCTTTCTTGAATTAGAAATAAAGCCCTTTCTTGAATCCACTGTAAAATTCATAAAATGTAACAGAAATAAGTCAGCTAAGTATATGAATAGGCACTTGGGTGAGAAAGGCAGGCAAACAACTCAGATTAAAGTTATTCTGCTCTGAGAGAAAAGCCTCATGAAGAATTTTCTGTCCTGATTCATTGGCATTTTCTCTGATGCTCCGAAAATAGTTGGCGAAGTTCCATAACTTTCTCTCATGGCTAGACCTGAGTATTAGCCTGGTAGCTGAAGACAAGTAGACCGCAGAGTTACCATAATCCTAACACATCGGGCAAGCTAATGCGCATTTGATGCCTTTGAACCTGACTTTCCTGTACGGAAGTACACAGTATGGGCTTGGATTACTGAATGAATTGATTTCAGTTACAAAACTACTCACAATAAGTTTAGAACTGATCAGTGTCTACCTCAAATAATTATTTTGGTTGTTTAGAGGTTTCCTGATCCAAAGGTGACATAGGGCATGGCTAGGTAGTAAAAAGGGAAAAAAAACCCTTCAATGTTAAAGCAGGCTGTTGTCCACCATACGACTCAGTGTCCCTTTTCTAGTTTTTATCCATGGAGAAATTAATACAGTAGTGCAAATGTGGGAGAACATTCTGGAAAGCAAGCATGCTTTCCTTGTAAAGGGACCTATGTCTTAGCTTCTTTCTAACTGGACTCCATACCAAAGGAACAAATAATCAAGGTTACCTGCATCTCACTTTTCTGTTCATAATTAGTTTTAAAGAATTAATCTGAACACAAGAGCCAAGATTTGGAGACAACACAAGAGCCCGAGACCAGATGAATGGATAAAGAAATTGGTCCATATATGCAACGGACTCAGTTAGAGAGAACATAAAACCCTGCATTTCAGTCAGAAAGGGATAGTCATAGAAAGATTGCATTCATCTGGGGAACATAAAGTAACAAAATAGGAGACTAACACCCAAGAGTGGCAGAGATTAGTACCAGGATTTTTGTTCCATGGCTTGGAGGCCAGCCACACATGCTAGGGGAAAAGAGAGCTCAGATAGAGAAAGGAGTACCAAATAAAGGGTGTTGGGAGGATTCTCCCAGGATGGGAGAAGCATGCTGAAAGTAGACTATAGACCAAACATGATTGCCACTCAATGCCTCTTTTGCAAACCACAACACCCAAAAGGAGAGAGAGAGAACAAAAGGGAATACCCTGCCATAGAGGCAGGGTGGTATGGGGGGATGGGGGTGGGAGGGATACTGGGACCCGTGGTGGTGGAAAATGCACACTGGTGGAGGGATGGGTGTTTGATCATTGTACAGTTGAAACCCAAGCACAAAAAATTGTAAATTCACAACTGTACCTCATGGTGTTTCACTAACAAAAATTAAAAAAAAAAGTAAATGATGGAGAATGGGCACTGGTGGAGGGATAGGTACTGGATCATTGTATAACTGAAACCCAAGCACAAAAATTTGTAAGTGTACAACTGTACCTCATGGTGTTTCACTAATAAAAATTGAAACAAACAAACAAACAAACAAACAAAAACCCCCTGCGTTTCTCTGCTATATGGATAAAACTGAAGGACATCATGCTGAGATCAGATAGAGAAGTGAACCAGAGGGAGAATGAAGACCATCTTGCTCATATGTGGTGTATAAGATGCAGATTAAAGAATAAACAACGGCCAACGGGGATACACTCTGAGAACCGGACTATAGGTCCACTTCACCTAAGGAGAGTGGGGAGGGGACCTAGGGACAGTGGCAGAGCTGACACACTGTGGGTGGGGGTGGTGTACCAACAATATATGCCTCAAACTCAGTCTTGAAATCCAAGGAACAGTCTTGGAAATCCAAGGTACTAAATCAAACATTAAAAAGAAATGAGTCTGGGCCTGGAGCGATAGCACAGCGGGTAGGGCGTTTGTCTTGCACGCGGCCGACCTGGGTTCAATCCCCGCATCCCATATGGTCCCCCAAACACAGCCAGGAGTAATTCCTGAGTGAAGAGCCAGGAGGAACCCCTGTGCATCGCCGGGTGTGATCCAAAAAGAAAAAAAAAGAAATGAGTCTGAACTGGAACATGAGATCCACAGATGGGACTCTTCCATGTCCATCCTCTCCGAGAGGCTTCTGCCTCTCCACTGCAGGAGAGCTGCAGGCCAGCGAATGGAGCAGAGGCCAGCGAGAGAGGCGCAGAGGCCCCATGCCCATAACTACTTGTCCCTTTGCCTACACCTCACCCCGGTGGGCTGGCGCTGTCCTTGGCTCTATGGACATGCAGGTGGAGTTGTTGAGGGCACCGACTAAACCATCTCGGCCTGGCAAGTGGAAGCTTGGGCTCCCAGGAGGATGAGGCACTGGAGAGAGGGATGGAGAGAGGCCACGTAGAGCCTCACGTTAGATTCCTGTCTGAGCTCAGCCTTGGTTGTCTTCTAGAGGGACACACAGCGGGAGAGGCTTGGGGAGAGGTGAGCTGGGTGGATGGGGGCAGCTGATGGCACACACACACACACACACACACACACACACACACACACACACTGTCTGAGTTGAAGGAAGAGGAGCGACTAGCAAAAATGAAACAGAAACATTTGCAACAGCATCAGAAGAAACAGTTACTAGAACACTTCCTTCCTCACCACTTTCCCCACCCCCACCCCAGCCTTTCCTCTTTGCTGCTTTAGCCTCTGGGGTTGTGTTTTTCATGCGCTTTGTGTCTGGGACATGGTCTTTTCTCTCCTGTCTAGCAGGTAGATTTTGCGACATTCATTTTTCAAATCCCACAACTTTTATGTTCCAAGACCATCCGTGAATCTTCAAGACAATCCGGGACTCACCAGGTACCAGGGGGACTGGGGGGGGGGGCTGCTCTTTTTCCCTGTTCTTGACCCTGTCCCTTTCTCCCTCTATTTCCCTCCCAACCTCCTTCCCTCTTCTCCTCTCTTTAGTTATGCCATCAATATTCTGGGTCAGTGCAAACACTTCCTAAACCTCCGTGTTTTAAAAATTCCGAACTAATTATGGTCAGAACCGCAAACAGCTGCAAGCTGCTGTATTTGTTAGAACCTAAACATTTCACCTGCCTGACGCCTGGCTCTAGACTGTTGGTGATACTAATGGATGTTCATGGGAGGCAATGTTCACAAATGCACACAGTGACTGCAGGGCACCTGCGCAGATTGGAAGCTCAGGCAGGAGTTAATAGTGAATCTCCGGGGTGGAATTTCTGCTTCCTGGGAGATCTCAGGTTTTGGTTGCGGCATCTTGCCTGACTGGATCTGCCACAAGCACTGAAACCAGTCATGGGTGACCGTTTCTCATCAATGACTTCCTGCCCGTCAGTGCTCGTCATCCATTCCCTTGATCTTGCTCTCAGGAACATACCCTGAAAACCCACACTCAGCCTCCAGCCCTGAAGGAAAGGCTTGGAAATGGGGTGCATATTTCCCCAGGGGAGAGGCCTGGAAGCTGTGCCAGGGTCCACCTGAGTGGACCCCTCCCTGAGCACAGGAAGTACACAGTGAAGGGTCAAGAGAAAGGTGGGTGGGACTATGCGGGCATGCGTGAGTGGTGTGGGGGGAGTCTAGGAGAGAAACCTGCACCCAATTACTCAACTACTGTTCCAAGATTCTTTATGCCCCAAACACAGAAGCATAAGATCCTGGCAGTTCCCTGAGCTTGATACCCCTCACCATCCCAACACCCACCCCATCAGAGACCACCTATGTTGGGCCCAATCGCCTCTCCCTCTGTTGGCTAACTTGTCATCGTTTGTTTTAGCCCAATTCCATGCTGAAGGTCCTTCAGTCAGGGGATCCTCTGAGTCTTGGGCAAGTGTAGTGACAGCCTGCCCCAGAGGCACCTGCCCCTGGATATTGAAGGGAGAATCTCTGCTGAGAGCTTACCGTGAGGGGATCCTTCACCAGGCAAAGGAGTCTGGGAATCAGGGTGAGCAGAGAGACAAGATCTTAGTCCAAAACCAGCAGTCCCTGTTTGGTTGTGGGGGAGAGCGTACTTATGTGCTAAGCCGAGATGCAAGGGCTGTGGGTGTGCGTGTGGTGAGTGGGTGGTGGATATACATGCGAGGCTGACTGCATGGCCAGGGCGAGCTCAGGCGGTGCCACAAACGCAGAGATCAGCTCCAGGGTTCAGCCTGGAACCAGCCCTCGGTGATGTGTGGTCTCAGCAGCTCTTTCTTCTCTCTCAACTTCTTCTTTGGAAAAATGGGGTCTTTGTGCTGGCTAGCACCTCCGATTCCATCACAAAGCATCCTGTGTGCTTTCCTTCTAGAACGCCATGGAAGAGCCTCAGAAGGATAGAGAAGACACTGGGAACACAGGTGAGGGTCTAGCAGGCTCTTTTGGACCCCCTAGCCCACATGCACGCAGGCTGGCTCCACCACACTTCCTGACTTGCATGATTCATCTTGACCAAGAAACACGGTTTCCCTGGGAACACAAGCATATGGCCTTTGGCTTTCATATTCTCCATTGAGAGGGTTTTTCCTGATAAAACAGACCAGGCAGAGATTGGAGGGGTAGAAAGTAGGAGACCCAGAACTCCGAGCTGTGGGCTTCTGGGGACCCCACTGTCAGGTCTTCACCTCACCAACTCATTTCTCACAGAACCATCATCTCGTACATGACATTGGACACTGGGGTTTTAGCAGATGAGCTGGGGAGGAACGTGGCCATAACAGCGACATTTGGACATCACTTATACCCTCTGGTACGTCTCAGCTGCTCCAACAGGTACAGACAAAGAGACCTCAGCTCCAGCAGCAACTCCGTTGAGGATCGTCCTGGTGGGCAAATCGGGCAGCGGGAAAAGCGCTACCGGGAACAGCATCCTCTGCCGGTCTGTGTTCGAGTCGCACGTGGGGGCCCAGAGCGTGACCAGGCAGTGCCAGGAGGCCAGGGGCACTTGGGAAGGGAGGAGCATCCTGGTGGTGGACACAGCCCCCATCTTCGACGCCGCGCCCCCCACCCAAGACCTGTACAAGAACATCGGGGACTGCTACCTACTCTCTGTCCCTGGGCCCCACGTGCTGCTGCTGGTCACTCAGCTGGGCCGCTTCACCACCTACGACGCGGTGGCCGCCAGGAGGGTGAAGGAGGTCTTTGGACCACAGGCCATGAGACACGTGATCGTCCTCTTCACTCACAAGGAGGATCTGCAGGGCGAACCCCTGGCTGGGTACCTGGCCAGCGTGAAGGACACGGGGCTGCACGGGCTCCTGCGGGAGTGCGGGAGGAGGTTCTGCGGCTTCAACAACCGGGCCACGGGCGCTGAGCAGCGCCAGCAGCTGGCCGAGCTCATGGGCCAGGTGCAGAGCCTGGAGAGGGAGCTGCAGGGCGGCTTCCTGAGCTCCGAGCTGTCCCGGGAGGCGCAGCTGCTGCTGCAGCAGCAGCAGAGCACGAGGTCCGAGTGCGCGGAGCAGCGCGCGCGCTACCTGGGCCTGGTGCAGCGCGAGGTGGAGAAGCAGCGGCGGTCGGTGGTCGTGGCCCAGGGCAGCGGAATGAGGAACCAGTTGCACAGGCTCCAGCCAGTTTTCGATTCTGACTTCGTGTTTTGTTTTTTGGGGTGCAGCATATTATTCATCGTTATCATGCTGATCTTTTTTGTATTTTGATGTCTCATCGGCATGGCAGCATTTTCCACACCGTCATGCATGTCTCTGTCATCCTCAGCACCACCCTCCGGAGGTGAATTTTGAGGTTGGCAGAGAACATGGGCTGCCCACGATGAGGCTCGTTCCTCTCCCGACACTGATCCCAACACTATTACGGCATCCCTTTACCATTATTTTGAATTTTCCCACCACCACCACCACCACCACCACCACCACCACCACCACCACCACCACCCAAACCTGCCCCTAAAGCACGTACTAAATAAGTTATTTTGATTTATTCCTTATAAAAATATGCTAAAATGCAATGTAGCACTGTCTTCCCATTGTTCGTCAACTTGCTCAAGCGAGCCCAGTAACATCTCCACTGGGAGACGTGTTGTTGCTGTGTTTGGAGTATTGAATACAACACAGGTAGCTTGCCAGGCTTTGCCACGTGGCCGAGATACTCTTGGTAGCTTGCCAGGCTCTCCGAGAGGGGCAGAGGAATCGAATCTGGTTGGCCGGGTCAGCCGCGTGCAAGACAAATGCCCTACCCGCTAAGGAAAGTGTATGAAGATTATTGTATCTCATCCTGGAGCCAGTAAGCCCTTGTATAAGAGATTAATAACATGTTGTGATAAGTTGCCCCTTGTGTGCTGATATAATATATACATCAAAGTAGGTTGCCTTCTACATTACCCCCATCAGATGTGGTGTGCTACTCTTGGTACATCAGTGGGACAGAGCATGAGATGTCATGCAGCTGTGCTCCAGGAATTCTAAAGTTTTATATAGGGTGGTACAGCTAGAGTTGAATTTTTAACTGGACGGTGAATTTGGGTGTGGAGGCATCTCTGTGGTGTTTTGCACTTTTTCTCTTCTGAGATTTATTTGTGAGTCTCTGGATCATGGCCATTAATGAGCTCATATGGCACCAGAGAAAGTTCACAGGCGTGGTCACCAGGCTTCAGGAAGAACAGGGGATGGTGGGGTGGGGGGAGGTAGCCCATTCCTGACTCTGTGAGAGCCTGAAGATTTCAGGAAAGCGACACTTCAGAAGAGAGCAGAGAGCTGTAACAGGTCAGTCAACGAGAGAGTTGTTCCTCTCTTTAGATTCACAACGATGTCAGCAATAAATCCCCGTGTTGCTACAGTTATCTGGGTTTGGACGTCTCATTTCAAACACTTTTAACCTGCATTTGAAATGTTTGTTTTGGGGTCATACCCAGCAATGCTAAGGGCTTATTCTTGACTCTGTGCTCAGTGATTAGTCCTGGCAGGGTTCAGGGGACCCTATGGGGTGCAAGACAAATTCAGGTCAACCAAATGCTAAGCAAGAGCCTTACCCACTTACTTCACCCTGGTCTCTTGCATTTAAAAACATTTGAACTAGTTGAGACTTTTTCACCTTCCTGTGTGCAGCTTATCTTCATTCCAAAGTCCCAGGGCAGAGAAGTGAGGCACATGCTCAGGTGATGCAGAGAGACCTGTTTGTGTCTCAACTCACTGTCACAATCCACACTGTGTGGTTTCTCCTTCAGGCCCATCTTCCTGTCCCACCCCAGCTCTACTGTTACAGCTCAGACTGCCTGCAGAGGTGGAGTCCTCCTCCTCCTCCTCCTCCTCCTCTTCCTCCTCCACCTCCTTATCCTCCTCCTGTCCTGCCAGCCTTCAGCTCCCAAGGGCCACACTGAAGCTCTCTGACCATCCTAAAATACACGCTCCTGCTTAAAAACTCCAGTCAGGTGGCCTCTGGCATGGTCCGTGAACCCCGAGGGGACACACGAGGATCTCCCTGCACCTCTCCCCCATGGGCTGATCTCATCCCCCTCCCTCATGGCCGAAAGCACTGCCCAGATTGGGGAGCGCATCTGCAGACAAACATAACCCTGCCCAGGAGACTCGGCTGAGCCCATGTTCTTCCCTTTTCCTGCACTGTAGCATAATATTGGTTTGTCCTTTCCGTTTTGCCGCAGGGAGCACAGGTTTATTGGGCTACTCCCATCACAGTGCTCTCATTCCTCTGCGTTTATTTGTAACCTCTTTCTTTGTGCTCTGCTTCCCCAATCGGTCAATCACCTTTGTTTCCTAATCAGACTCTGTTAATTTGTAAATTGTTGGGGAATCAGTTTTCCTCCCAATGGTGCCCGCACACGTTGCACACTGGGTTAGGCCAGGTGTGGGACGAAGGATAACAGGTGCGTGGAGAAACACCCTCCGGAAGCAGCTGATGGCTGTTCACTTTATTGCCAGAAACATACATATTTTAGAGGGTCTTGGCTTGCAAGAAAGTCCAACCACATGAAGTTCAGCATTATTGGCCTATCACTGCTCCTTCTCTGCTATGGCCTAGTCCAATCCCAGGTAATTCTAGATGCTGCAGTTAGGATAACTTGCTAAGCATACATGACAGTTTTTGTGTCTAGGTCTCATGTGACTAGGAGGTCGAGTGAGACTCAAGGCTGAATACCTGGTGCTGGCTGACACCCTGTTCTTGCCAACTTTGCCCAGATACTCCCTCTTGCGAGGCTTTGCTTCTGGGCTGCTTTGCAAGGTCAGATCTTATCTGCATCAGTGTCTGTCACCCTGCTCCACAGTAAATATTGCTTTTCTCTTCTCCTTAGGTCCTTTACATAATTAATTCAGAGCAATGGCCTTTTTGTATAGACACAGGAAGACAGTTAATGCTATGCTTTTGTAACTTGGGAGTAAATTGACCCCGAATGATATTCACTCCTGGGCATCTGTTCTCTCAACTTAAGCCTCAGTTGCTCTTACTTCCTAGCATCCCAAAAGCAGAGTCCTGACGAGGGACTGGATGGACCCAGGGCAAGTTGTGAGCTACCCTGGCATCGAAATGGGCCAGGCCAAAGTACCATAATACTGAACTATAAGTTAAGAGCATGGTCATGGACAAATTCTGTCATGATCTATTGGAATATAGCTCCAAATATTTTAGACCTAACATTGGTTTGCCCTTTCCCCATTGCCACAAGAAGTTTAGTTTCATTGAGTCACACCCATCACATTGCCCCTGAGTCACTTCCATTTCTTTCTTTATCCGTAACCACTTCTATGCTCTCCACCCCAACCAGTTAATCAGCTTTCCCCCTAATCAGAATCTGATAATTTGTAAGGTCAGATCCTTCTAGGACACTGAAATTGTATTGTAAGTTAATATTGCCTTTCTCCTCTCCTTATGTCTTTTGAATAGTTTACTTTAATGCAGGCACGTACAGGGTGGTATGGCCATAGACGAAGGGCTGGAGCGATAGCACAGCAGGTAGGGCGTTTGCCTTGCACGCAGCCAACTTGGCCAACCCGAGTTCGATTCCTCCGCCCCTCTCGGAGAGCCCGGCAAGCTACCGAGAGTATTCGATATGCCAGACACAGTAACAACAAAGTCTCCAATGGAGACGTTACTGGGCTCGCTCGAGCAAATCGATGATCAACGGGAGGGCCTTTACCTTTACCTTTTACTTTAATGCAATGTCCTTTTTGTATAGATACAGGAAGACAGTTAATATTATGCTTTGTAACTTAGGATTTAATTGTCTTTGAATATTATTCACTCCCAGGCATCTTCTTTCTCGACTTAAGCCTCAGTTGCCCTTAGTTCCTAGCACCCCAAAAGCAGAGTCCTGACGAGGGACTGAATAGACCCAGGGCAAGCTGTGAGCTACCCTGGCATTGAAATGGGCCAGGCCAAAGTGCCACAATTCTTAACTATAACTTAAGAACTTGATCATAGACAAATGCTATCATGATCCAAAAGTAACAATGACACTAGGACCCTGCTAGGGATAGGAAAACTATCTGGCCTGAACACTGTAGTCTGAGATCGAGATGGTCCTAGGAGAGCAATTCTATAAGTTTAAGGTATTTCTTACTGTATCCATACAAAATGATTAATATTATGAATGTTCATATGTTTGCTGGACAAGGAGAGGAGAAACACATCCAGGGGATTCCGCTCTAGGGTGGGTCAACCTGCTAAATAAGAATCTGTCCTAGAAGTGGCTTTCCCCAAGGGAAAGAACTCTACCCCTATTGATTGTGACCACACCTATTATTACCCCAACCCATCATGCTGGGGGATATAATGAGACTGTAAGAGTGAGCTGGCTGGGGGAATCTGAGGAGAGAGGCAGGAATGAATGGAGAGAGGATTGAAATAAACTGCAACTAAGACCAACCAGCCTGGCCCTCATTCCTTCCTTCGCCTGCCCATCACCATCGACCTCCCCCGGGGTGAGGGAACCAGCATGAGACTACCGAACGTGGGTGGCGGGAGAGATAGACCATTGCTGTCTTTTTGTGTTTACACAATGATCCAAAACGTACAACTAGATAAGGACCCTGCTGGGGTTAGGAAAGATTAATCTGCCTGAGCACTGTAGTCTGAGATCTATAGCTAGAGGTCCCCAGGAGAGCCATCCTACAGGCTTAATGTATCTCTTACTGCATCCACACAAAATAACTAATATTAAGAAGTAGAATTAAGATGTTAATTAAGTTATTGGACTAAGGAGAGGAGAAACACCCCTAAGTGGTGTTTTGCCCTTGAGCAGAAGAAGGGCTTTCATATGTTGATTTTGCTACCAGATGGGGTATGGTAGGAGAGTTTCCTACCCTATGCCTGACTGTCTCCACCAGGGCCCAACAGCTGAAGATCACCGGGGCCCAGCCAAGGCCATGCTGGGACCACTCTCCACACACTTGGATGAGCCTCACGCATAAAAGAACTGGCAGAGGAACCCAGGTGTGTGGGACCCGGGGCTGAGATCTCCAAGCCTGCACGGTTTGGGACTGGACCTGCCAGTAGCTAGATGGTTACACCCACCAACTGCCGTGTAACCCCAACAACGGCCAGGATCCAGAGATTATCACACTCAGCTCCCGGAAGCGTGCGCCCGCACGCGGCCGCGTGACATCTTATCATCTCATTCCTAATTTGGTCAAACTGGCAGGCTACCAAATGTAACCTGCCCACACAGCAGAGTCTGGCAAACTCCCTGTGGTATACCTAATATGCCAAATACCAGTAACAATGATGGGGCTCATTCTCCTAACCCTGAAAAAGCCTTGAATATGGCACTTTAAAAAAAATCTCAGTGCTAGGACGAAGAAGACGTTACTGGCACCTGCTCGAGGCAATCGACGAACAACAGGGTGGTCATGATCGTGGTCGTGATGGGGTATGGTGGCTACCCCCAATGCAGGGAGTTGGTAAGAGACTAGAGAGACCAACGCAAAGAGTGGGGCATGGACAGATGGTGCGCAGAGAGATGAGCAGGAGATAGAAGGAGACAGGAATGAGGGGCAGTGTGAAACTAGAATGGGGAGCTTAGTGAGACTGGAACAGGCGTGTGGGGAGAATGGAATAAACGGCAACTGATCACCAAACAGCTTGGCCCTCGCTTCCTCCTCTGTCCGCCCATGGTATCGGCCGTCCTGGGTGGGGAAGCAGCGCGAGACCACCGAACGCAGGTGGCAAGAGAGAGCTACCGGGGTCCCCTAGGCGCCTGGTGTCTACACTTGGCACACCCCCTTTCTTTCTTTCTTTCTTTCTTTCTTTCTTTCTTTCTTTCATTTATTTTTTTCCTTAAATTTTTTTTTGTAGGAGTACTGCTATTTATTCAGCCACTGATTAGCTGATTGAATTGTGCATGAACTCCACCTTACTTTTTCTTTTCATTTTTTAAAAATTTTATTTATTGAATCACCGTGAGAGCAGTTACAAAGCTTTTGGGTCTAAGTCTCGGTCATACAATGAAACACCCGTCCCTTCACCAGTGCCCATTTTCCACCCCCAATAACCCCCATCCCACACCCTCCCCCTACCTGTGGGGCAGATGATTTCCACATTACTCTCTCTCTACTTTGATCACATTCAATATTTCGACACCAGACCCACCATTATTATTTGAGATTTTACTCCAACACTCAGATCTGCTGAAAAGGCAACAATAGACAATTTGTGTTCTATTGCTGGTTATGAATAACATATGATGTCGTGTGGCTGCAGTAGTGGCTGCGGAATTTTGAAATTCCAAAATTTTAACACTTAAATCTGGAGGGATTTCTGCCAAAAGCCACTGGGTTTCGAGATCTGCTCCTGAGTCTCTGGGATCATGGCCGTTGAGCAGCTTGATGAGGAGCCAGAGAGGCCGTTTGTGGGCGATGACTTGGGGTCTCGTTGGGGTGGGGAGGACAGGTCCGGCTCCACCCCATCCTGTGAGGCCCAACAAGTTTCGTCACTGCAGGCCCAAGCCTGACTGTCCAGTGGCCTCCGGAGGATGATGGCCACAGAGCTGCCAGAAGGAAACAGGCAGAGGGACAGCACCCTTTCCCCTCTGGGGTGGCCCGGCAACAGTAACCTACTGCAGGGTCTGGACACATTTCTGCCAAAAGCCGCTGGGTTTCGAGATTTGTTTCTGAGTCTCTGGGATCAAGGCTGTTAAGCAGCTTGATCAGGAGCCAGAGAGGCCTTTCGTGGGCGATGACGTGGGGTCTCATTTGGGTGGGGAGGACAGGCCTGGCTCCACCCCATCCCATGAGGCCCAACAAGTTTCGTTGCTGCGGGCCCAAGCCTGATTGTCCAATGGCCTCTGGAGGATGATGGCCATCAAGCCGCCAAGAGGGTGCAGGCAGAGGGACAACACCCTTTCCTCCCTGGGGTGGCCAGGCGACAGTAACGTACTGTGGGGTCCGGACGCATTTCTGCCAAAAGCCACTGGATTTTGAGATTTGTTTCTGAGTCTCTGGGATCATGGCCATTAAGTAGCTTGATCAGGAGCCAGAGAGGCCGTTCGTGGGCGATGACTTGGGGTCTCGTTGGGGTGGGGAGGACAAGCCCGGCTCCACCCCCATCCCGTGAGGCCCTGTGTGTCTCGTCACTTGGGGCCCAAATGTGACTATCCAGTGGCCTCTGAAGGATGGCGGCCACTGGGCCACCAGGGGGAACAGGCCAAGGCACGAAACCTATTCCCACTTGGGTTGGCCCAGCACCGGTACCCTACTGCAGGGACCGGATGCATTTCTACCGAAAGCCGCTGGGTTCCGAGATTCGTTTCTAAGTCTCTGGGATCATGGCCATTAAGCGGTTCAATCAGGGACCAAAGCGGCCTTGCCTCCAATTATATAGCTGAGCCGGAGGTGGTTTGTGGGTGTGTTTCCCACATACCTAACTTTTGGCCGTTTACTTTCTTGGTAAACTGTCCCAAGTTATTGGGGTCTGGCGAAAGGCACAGCAGCAATTTTGGGGTATCTGGAAGTCTGAAGGCGCCATGAGGCTGCTGATGCACTCGCCTCACAGGTACAGATTGACCTGCTGGCGGCACCATACCCCCGTTTCCTTACATATTTATTAGTGAAACACCATGAGGTACAGTTGTAGACTTACAAATTTTTGTGCTTGGGTTTCAATTATACAATGATCAAATACCCATCCCCCCACCAGTGCCCATTCTCCACCCCCACCAATCCCAGTATCCCTCCCACTCCCCATGCCCCCATCCCACCCTGCCTCTGTGGCAGGGCACTCCCTTTTGTTCTCTCTCCTTTTGGGTGCTATGGTTTGCAAAAGAGGCATTGAGTGGCAATCATGTTCGGTCTATAGTCTACTCTCATCACGCATCTCCCATCCTGAGAGGAACCTCCCAACACCTTTATTTGGTGCTCCCTTCTCTATCTGAGCTGCCTCTTCCCCTAGCGGGCACATCCCATTTCTACAGGCCTTCTTCCCTCTCCCGTGGAGCAGGAACCTTGGAGCGTTTATTTGTTTTGGAGCCACACCAGTGAGCTTCCTGGTTCTGTGCTCCAGGATCCCTCCTCGAGGATCTTGGGGGCCCATATGTAGTACTGGACATTGAACGGGGGTTGACTGCGTGCAGGAAAAGCATCTTACCCCTATACTATCTCTCTGACCCCCCTTATAGCACGTATCTGACATTCCTGTATGAACATCAAGTCTTATATACTCACTGCTCACATCATAATATCTGGAGCAGAATGATTGAAGTCAAGGAAGGGATAGGTAGAATTAGGTTGGGCAACCTGGGAATACTGCATGGAGGAGGTGGTTTTGCCTGAGAACTTAGAATTCCTTAAACTCCAAGGGTGAGAGGCACTTATACATAAACTGAGTGTACATGTTTGGCATTGGTTATGTGAATACAGCAGTACAGGCCAACACAGCATCGTTTCCAGCCATCGAGGTTCTGAGAATGACATTGGGGTTACCAACGACCTTCTAGAACTCACCTCAGGATGGATTATTTACCCATCACTTGCCCAGGGTGGCCTGAGGTGACTGAAATTGCCCGTTATAAGGAACAAGGGAACAGAAGAAGGGGAACTTTTGTGGAGGGGAGGCCCGTGAGGAGCCTTTGCTTCTGATCCTGTGTCCAGGAATGCGAGGTCTGTGCCCGGATCTCCCCCTAAGCACCCCCCCCCCCAGAGCGCCGAAAGGGAGAGGGGAGAAAGGCGTTGCCTTCTTGTGCAGGCCTACCACAGAGGACTCGACTAGCACCCAGCATCTTGGGATAAAAATCGTAAGGAGAAAGCTTTCCAATCCCCTGGGAAAATTGTGTGGAATTCCCTGTTTTCTAGGAATGCAGTGTCACACAGCAGAGCCGAGGTCCTGCCTCTCACACCATCTGGGGTCCCCTGATAACCCTCACTGCCAGGGCCAGCCCAGCCAAAGCAGCTCGGATCTTCCAGATCCCAGCCAGTGGGGTTCCTGGCGACTCTGCTGTCCCACGGGCCATATCCACCATGCCGCTGTGACCTCCTTTCTCGCCACCCCTCCTATCCAGGTTCTCACCTCCGCATCTCTGTACACCCAGACTCCCTGCAAGAATGTCCTCATGTCTCTCTCTCTCTCTGTCTCTGCCAGGCAGGATGTGGTGTCAGGAGTAGGCTGGAGAAGTCAGAGTATATTTCTGAATAAATGTGACATCTTGCCTCAGCTCTTCCTACTTCATCCTTCCCCCTCCATAGCACGACGAAAGTAGGACCCAGAGCCCAGAGTTGAGCTATTTAAGGGGTATCTCAGACCACAAGGCCCCCCAACCGCTTAGAACAGGATTCTGTTCCTGTCCTCTTGGCTCTCGCGAAGAAACCAAATAACAGAGACTTTCCCCTCGTCTGGATTTTATTAAAATGTCTGAAAGCTAAATAGATGCCAGGTGGGATAGAAGGAGAGAAATTGCCAGTGAAATGGTGTAAGAAGCAAATTCAGGGCCTGCAAGCAGAGACCACAGTTCTGAGCAAGAAAGCGGCTGCCGTTCTAAAACTGCTCAGTGCCCACGAGGGATACCAAAGTCGATGAAAATAATCAGAAAAATTAAAATGCAAATAAGAAGGATAGCAATCCAGACGTGAGACGCCAACCAGCTCTTGATTCTGCACAGCCGGTCCCCCTGGCACCGTCCCTGGGTCGTGGCCACCGCCCGCCGCTGCTTCTCCACCTCGCGCTGCACCAGGCCCAGGTAGCGCGCGCGCTGCTCCGCGCACTCGGACCTCGTGCTCTGCTGCTGCTGCAGCAGCAGCTGCGCCTCCCGGGACAGCTCTGAGCTCAGGAAGCCGCCCTGCAGCTCCCTCTCCAGGCTCTGCACCTGGCCCATGAGCTCGGCCAGCTGCTGGCGCTGCTCGGCACCCGTGGCCCGGTTGTTGAAGCCGCAGAACCTCCTCCCGCACTCCCGCAGGAGTCCGTGCAGCCCCGTGTCCTTCACGCTAGCCAGGTACCGGGCCAGGGGCTCGCCGGCCAGGTCCTCCTTGTGGGTGAAGAGGACGATCACATGTCTCATGGCTTGTGGCCCAAAGACCTCCTTCACCCTCCTGGCGGCCTCGGCGTCGTGGGCGGTGAAGCGGCCCAGCTGAGTGACCAGCAGCAGCACGTGGGGCCCGGGGACAGAGAGTAGGTAGCAGTCCCCGATGTCTTTGTACAGGTCTTGGGTGGGGGGCGCGGCGTCGAAGATGGGGGCTGTGTCCACCACCAGGATGCTCCTCCCTTCCCAAGTGCCCCTGGCCTCCTGGCACTGCCTGGTCACGCACTGGGCCCCCACGTGGGACTCGAACGCTGGCCGGCAGAGGATGCTGTTCCCAGTGGCGCTTTTCCCGCTGCCCGATTTGCCTACCAGGACGATCCTCAAGGAGGATGAAGCGTCAAAGCCGGCACCTGCTCTGCTGCCTGAGGAGACAGTTTGCACCCGCCTATGTCCGAGCTCCTTAAGTTTAGGTCACTGGCTTCCAGGCAAGCTATCCCGCTCCCTCCCCAGAGATGGACATGCATAAGTGATTTGTGAGCAGAGTTAGGAAGCTGGGGGTTGCAGGAAAACCACAGAGCCAAGAGTGGAAGGGCTGCCCAGTGGGGAGGGCTGGGGACATCTCATCAGGAGAAGCCACAAGGGGGGAGACAGCAGTGCCACCGCCTGCACCCACAGACTCCTGGGCATGAAGGTGCCCCACATATTCACCAGCCCCGGGGTGGGGGTGACTCAGGTGTAGGGGTTCTATGCCTGCACCAGGCTCAGCCGAGTGCCCCTGGTGGGTGACGGGGAGCTGGATGCTTGGGATTGGGAGGCAGAAGGTGAGGGAGGATGACCTGGCCGGGCTGGGGAACACCAAGGCCGTCAGAAGTGCAGGTGGGAAGGACCCAGTTGGCTGTGGGAGGAGAGAAATTCTACCAAAAGCTGAGCGCAGAGGGTGACCCTAGCCCAGCACAGAGTCTGCCCTCAGGGGTCCCCGAGGCTCCTCTGAGGCAGGGCCTCCGCCCTTTCAGGCTCCCACAGCCAGCTGGTGCTTCAGCCCTTCAGCTCTGTGCTGGTTCTTTGTTCTTCATGACTATGGGAGTGTAGCATGAGATATGTCTACTAAATGCCCAGGGAAATGCACCCTCTATACAGCCGAGCACAGGAAAGAAGGTTCTTTTGCACAACTGGGCTCCATCCAAATCCTTGGGCCTCTGACCTCAAATTTTGTTCCCACATTGCCCAGCTATTGTGAGAGCGACCATAAGGAGGGAGGGGGCTTGTTTCCTTCTTCCGGTTAGATAAGTGGGTTCTGTCACTGGGCTTGAGGTGAGAAAAATGTGAGGAAACTGTGGGTGTATCTCTGGCCCCGGGCCTGGAGTTCCTGAGAGCCGGAGACTTTCTTACCTTCACTGAGAGCTCCGTATTTGCTCCTCTCAAAAGCTTCCATTCTCTTCTGGAATAGAAACAAGAGGAAAGGAACAGAAAGCACTCATCCAGGGCGGCTGGCAGGCCTGAGGACACCTCTAGACACCCAAGAGAAGTCTTAGATGAGCCATTTACAGCCTGGATTTTTCACTGAGGTTGTGCTTTTGAACCAACGACTATAAAAAAGGACATGCATTCTGGGTGGTGCCAGGAGAGATACTTTTTTTCCCGTTCTCCTTTTACAGGAAAGAGGGAAATATTTTGAAATAAATCAATTGGTAGCTACCTCCAATTTATTTATTTATTGGGGGCTCCTCACGTAGTGCTAAGAAGATCCAGGAGTTCCTCTGTTGATTCTTGGCAAACCGAGTTCAGTTTAGTGTAAGCCCAAAGGTGAGGTGCTGCTAAGGCCCTGCAGACTGGGGGTTACTGAGGTCACCCTGTGGTACTCAGGGGCCTTCAGGGACACACCAGACCATGCTTAGGGGACTGTGTGATGCTAGGGAGCAAGCTCATGGTATTATCTTTAGGCCTCTTTCCCTGCAGTTTTAAAAAAGAAAACATTCCACTAGGAAATGGGGACAAACCAAAGAGGAAAACTTGATGGAATGGGGAACAACTTGCTTTGCTCCAAGAAACATTGGCTGGGAATGTGTGTGGAGAACTAGGAATTTCCCACTCTAAGGAATAACTTCCTGTTTTCAGTTCAAACAAGAAGTTCAGTGCTCCTTCCAGCAGGAAGGTGGAGATCATGGCTAAGCGTCTCCGAGACATTCGTGGGAGGAAGTCGAGGACATGAAGGCAGGAGAGATGGGGCTGGGCACAGTGCAGACTAGAAGGTGCCCAGGAGGAAGAGTTAACACTCAGGGAAAATTCCAGAACATTTTTCTTTTCCTATCTGTCTTTAATGAAATATTTTTTCCTGGAGGCTCTGGTCGTTCAATATTGATTATTTTTTTCTCCCCCAGCAGAAATGGGCATAGCAAAGGGCAAAAACTTTTCCTCAAAATGAGATACAGCGTGTCACTCCTCTTGGCATCAGGGAAGAGAAGTTGCAGGGAGGAGCAAGCAGGCAGACCCAAGGGGATCACTGATCCGAACTCAACAGCAGTTTTTGGTTTATTCAGTTTCAAAGACCGTGATTCTATATGCTGTTCTAAGGCACTTTTGAAGCATCGGAATACAGAGAAATAAAGATTTACCATCTGCAATCAACCAATGTATTTTGTCTTTCTTAGGAGATCCATTCTAAACTGAGTGATAGCACAGTGGTAGGGCATTTGCCTTGCACGCAGCCAGCCTGGCCGAGCTGGGTTCGATTCCTCCGCCCCTCTCGGAGAGCCTGGCAAGCTACCGAGAGTATTCAATATCCCAAACACAGTAACAAGAAGTCTCACAATGGAGACGTTACTGGGCCCGCTCGAGCAAATTGATGAACAACGGGAAGACAATGTTTTTATTTAGGAGAGCCATTCTGCTTGACTGAGTAGCTTCAACCCTGCATAGCCCTGTATTGATCTCAGATTCATCTCAATCCCCTGGCTCATCCACTCTGCCTTCTGTGGAAACTGCTCTAGTTCTGCATCTTTCCTCCTTTTGATGGCACCTTCTGAGACTGGGCACCTCAGGAACTATTTTGGGATCTACTGATGTGTTGCCACATGTCACTTCCAAAGCTTTTCACAGCCTTTATTCCAAGGGTCCTGAAGCCTTTCAGCATCTGTTAGTCAGCAGAGGCTGGGGGTGGGGTGGAGGGTAGAGGGTTTGAGTCTGGGTAGAGATTTGTACGACAATGTGAGCGTCCTCAGCACCCCACATCCGCATACAACCAAGTGGTTACTACAGTAAATTTTGTTTTATATATATATATATATTGGTAATATATATATTACCACAGAGTGCTTTGAAGCACTGAAAAATTAAATTTCTGGGGACTAAACAGAGGCCACAAAGGGGATGCACACACGGGACATGCTGCAGCCTGAGTTCTGTCCCTGGCCCCGGTGGGATCAGGAGACAGAAGTCAGGAAAATTCTGCCACCCTCATGGCACCTAATGAGTCCCTGGGACTCCCTCCCCAGCAGCTACCACAGAGGGTGGTGGAATGTGGGCCTGACTTGGGGGACCACTGCAGCCGACAGGGAAGAGCCCAACGGGCGAGGAGGCCGACACTAGTGAACATGGCTGACATTGGTGAACAATGATCAGCCCTGGTAAGCATGATGGATACCAGTGACATCATGATTGGCCCTGGTGAACATGATGGGCACTAGTGAACATGATGGACACTAGTGAACATGACCGACTGATGAACATGACGAACACTAGTGAACATGACAGACACTAGTGAACATGATGGACACTAGTGAACATGACCGACCCTGATGAACATGACGGACACTAGTGAACACGATGGATACTAGTGAACATGACCGACCCTGGTGGACATGACAGACACCGATTACCATGAGGTTCTCTCTAGTTTCTTAACTGGGGAAACCTGATCTGTGGGGGTTTGGTTCCTTCAGAGCAGAAGTGGCTGGGCTTCAGGAGCTGACAGGGCTTCCTTCTGCCATTCCTCCACTCTCCATCGTTCCTCCACTCTCCATCACGCCCTTGCACTGACATGTCTCTCACAGGCTCAATAAAGGGCTGCCCCCCCCCCCCCCACTTCCTGGGGGAGTGGTCCTACTCAATCCTGTATGGGTCACAGGCTACGAGGGGGCTGCGTGCAGAGTGGGGCGACACTTGGACCCAGGTCAGATGACACACTTGAGACACAGGACTCAGGGCCAGGAGAGATTATGAACCCCACCTTTCCTCTAGGAGGCCCTGAGAGTCCACTTCCCCATTCTGGGTGGGGGTCATGTCAGGATTAGCGGTACAGGGAAGTTAAAAAGAAGTGTGGGAGACCCCAACCCTCCCGCTGGGGACCCTCTGGGTTCTCAGCCTCGCTCTAGGCAGCTCCGGAGCTCCGGTGATCACAGGGGCTAAGAAGTGGGGGGGCCTTCCAGGAGGGCGGGGCACGGGGACCCCTGAAGGCGACCTACGTGCGGGGTGCAGGAAGGAGTTTTGGGGGCTTCCAGCCTGTTCTGCAGCCCAAACCCGCCTCTGCCCCAAACCTCAGGGTCATCGCCAAAGCCTGGACCTGTTGGACTCATCCCGGGCACGCCCGGGACCAAGCGAAGCTGGAGGGGGCGGGGAGCTCGCGGACCCGCAGTCTGGGACCCCCTGCGCATCCCCTTACCGGGCGCGGCGCGGGACTCCGGCTCTGGCTCCGGCGCTGCGCGGTGGGACAGAGGGACGCGCCGGGGGTCGGGGTGTCCGGGCGGCGAGGGTCGTCGGGGGCCGCGGGGGGTCGCGCGCAGGCTTTGAAGCAGCAACCCCGAGCAGCTGCAGGAAGGATCAAGGGGTCCCGAGCGCTCCCGAGAACCGCGGCGGGAGGCGGGGAAGAGTCGCCAGCAGGTCCCCGGACGGCGCGTCTGGGGCGGAACCTGAGCCCCGAACTTCCTGCCGACCTTGGGGGCGCCGCTGCCCACCTCCCCTCCCCCAGCGATGCTCCACGACGTGTTAAACTAAACTGATTTTTTTGGAAAGGCATTGAAGGCAGTGACGGAGACCCCAGGCTCAGAAACGCCCCCCAGACACAGGAAAGGCCTGCGGGGCCCCTGCAGCAGTCACAGGCTCCGAGTCTAGAAGGTTCCTGCTCCCAGGACCCAGAGGCATTGCGGGGGGGGGGGGGGCGCCTAGGGACCCCTGAGCAGCTCTGAGCCCCGCGTGAGCCCCTTTCCTGCTGCAGGACCCTCCCCAGAGCGACGCAGGCCAGGGCAACGTGTCCCTGGGAGCAAGGACGGGACAGCCTCTTTTTGTCCACCGTTGGGACCTCCAAGACAGAGCAGGAACTTTGCGCAACTTCTTTGCTGAAAAGCGAAACACATCCCCCCACCCCAAATGAAAATTTTAAATTATTTAAATTTATTTTCTTGGCAAAGTGGGATGGAGAACGCGGGGAGGCCTTGCGGGGGTCCTGGATGGGGCAGTCGTGGGTCCTGAACCTCAGGCAGCTTTAAAGCACTAAAGCGATGAAGATGGACAAGTAGGGGTGGGGCCGGGGTCTCCTCAACATTTTTTTTTATTTAACAATAATATCTTAAGTTTATTAATTCATGGTCAATATATGAGGCGTATCATATTCATCCTCAGAGCTATATCATATATTAGTAAGAGATACCATTTAATGTATAAAAACAGAACCTAGAGGAAGTTAAATTAGTTTCATAAGTCATATGTCTGTAATTGTAATCTAGAATACTTCTCTTTTCTCTTTCTGTTCTACTCATACTTTCTTACATTCTCAGCAGATAAAATTAATGAGTGAAAGCATTAGAACATAAGAATGTGATAGAAAAATCATCTAGTTACAGAGTCATTTAACTACATGACGTTCATATTCATATAAAATTTTTAGAAAACTCGCCCAACTAGACAATTGCAGATTCATTGGTAGAACTTAGACCACGTATTCAAAATGTAAAAAGAAATGTGAATAGAAACCTGCCCCACCCCCCCCAACCCCCAAAAAGAGAGAGATAGAAAAAAAACAGAAATTATCAATTCTTTTTCTTTATTTTGAATTTTGGGGTCACACCCAGCAATGCTCAGGGGTTAATCCTGTCTCTGCACTCAGGAATTATGCCTGGCAGTGTTCAGGGGACTATACTGGATGCCAGTGATTCAACCTGGGTTGGTCACATGCAAGACAAACACTCTCCTCACTGTACTATTGCTTCAGTGCCCACCAATACTTCTTAAACATTCACATGACTCACATACTCAGAAGATGTTGGAATGGGACTGCATTTGCATTTGATTCTATGTAGACTTTTTAAAATTTTAAATTATTTAAATTTATTATTACATATTTTTCAATTATGAAATTAAATGATTCTTTTCCCTTTTATAAACTAATTGGAAAAAGAATTTGAAAGCCTGGGTGGCATTTTTAGGGTAGTAGTAATCTCCAGTAAATCCCTACATTGGGCCATTCAATTTACAGTGATTCAA